GTAATATATGTATTAATATGTAATATATGTATTAATATGTAATATATGTATGAATATGTAATATGTGCATTAATAGTAATATATTATATTGTGTATTAACATCTCTAATACACTCTGTTTTATATTAATATCTTACATTATATATTATGTTGTGTTCATCTATGATACAATGTTGGATAATATACAACATACTGCATTATAACACTGACTGACACAGATAAAATATATATTATAATATATCAATATTATAATGCAGTATAATACTATTATATATTATAATGACTGACTACTACATATTACAATATATCAATATTATAATGCAGTATGTTGTATATTACACAACATTGTATCATAGATGAACACAACATAATATAGAAGATATTAATGTAAAACAGATGTAGTGTTTGTAGACATTAATACATAATGTAATGTATCGATATTAATACATATATCACATATTCTATTTTAGATATTCGATGTTATTATATAATATAAAATATTTACATTTATAAAATTCATATATTTATATATTTTATATATATTTATAATGTTTATATAGTTATATATTTGTATATTTATATATTATATAGTTATATATTATTTATTTATATATTATTTATTTATATATTATTTATTTACATTTATAAAGTATTTACATTTATAAAATTTATATATTTGTGTATTTATATTTATTATATATATTTATTATATATTATTATATTATATTATATATTATATAATATTATATATATTTATATATTTGTATATTTATATATTTACGTATTATTTATTTATATATTATTTATTAACAGTTATAAAATTTATATATTTATATATTATTTTTATATTTATTTATATTTATATATTTGCATATTATTTATTTCCTTTTATAAAGTATTTAAATTTCTATTTATATTTTATATATTACATTACATTTCATATATACTACATTTTTATATATTATATACTAGATTCTATAGATGATCTCTATTATTTCTAACACGGATTTTAAGGCCGTTCCCGGGCCCGGAGCTCCCGGGGCGGGGGGAGCGGGGGGACCCTCAGCGGCCCCCGGGTGGGTGGAACGGGGGGCAGCGGGCTGGGGGGCGGGGGCGGCCGGGCCGTACCTGTTGAGGTGCCCCCAGTTGGCGAGTTTCTGGGCGGTGGAGCTGGCGGGGACGAAGCTGTGCAGCTCCACCATGGCGGGGAAGAAGAACTTCACCACCTCGGCCGCGAGCACTGCGGGGGCACAGCGGGCGGCGCTGGGGGGGCGGCACCGGGACCCCCCGCCCCGCCCGAGCCGGGGCACCCCGGGGCCCCCCCGGCCCTTCCCGGGGCACCCCCGGCCCCTCCCGGGGCACCCCCGGCCCCTCCCGGG